GCCCCGGACCCCGTACTCCCGGAGCACCCCCCACAGGGCGCTGCGAGGGACACGGTCGAATGCCTTCTCCAGATCCACGCAGCACATGTGGACTGGTTGGGCAAACTCCCATGAACTCTCCGCCACCTTGAAGAGGGTATAGAGCTGGTCCAGTGTTCCACGGCCAGGACGAAAACCGCATTGTTCCTCCTGAATTCGAGGTTCGACTATCGGTCGAATTCTCCTCTCCAGTACCCTGGCATAGACTTTCCCGGGGAGGCTGAGGAGTGTGATCCCCCTATAGTTGGAACACACCCTCCGGTCCCCCTTCTTAAAAAGAGGGACCACCACCCCGGTCTGCCAGTCCAGAGGCACTGTCCCCGACCGCCATGCGACGTTGCAGAGGCGTGTCAACCAAGACAGCCCAACAACATCCAGAGACTTAAGGTACTCAGGGCCGCCCTGAGTGACACTAATCAGGCTGATATCATTTCTGTCCTATAGGGATTTTTTTTAATATGACATATAGATTAAGTGCTAGATGGAGGAGAGAGATGTGTGACATACTGAGCAGCGGGTGTGTGAAAGCTTATGCCATCTTATAGACAGTCATCTGAAACATTTGCTTGTAGATGTGGAGAGACCACTGGACAGGACGCCATTGTAGAAGCAGAAAAATATACTGAAAAGGGACGTTTGTGTGATTCAGCACACATATGGCATCACTGAGTGTCAGTGATGCTGAGCAGAGAGAATTCACTTCGTTAATCACAGTAAAATGGACTAGATCCTACAGCACTGTTGAGTTACTGTCACACAGCAGATTATATTTCCTTTTTCTTTGAATCATCATTTATCAGCTGACCAGAAAAGGATTCTTTCTGCTCAACTGCAATAACAATAATCACATTTTTGTGAGCCATAGACTTTTCATATAAATCATTGTGATAAAGTGAGGACAAAATGATGCATTTTTGTTTTAAGTTGCAAGGAAACAATATTTAGTAGTTGACGGAAGTTATGTAGCACCTCAGTATTCAGATTTATGTAGAAATACCGTGTCTACATATAAGAACATATTCTGAAACCTAAACATTCTATAGTCAAAACATTTCTTAGTGTGCCTAGAAAACCCCTGAACAAAGACCCCTGCATACAATTACAGCACAAGTGTAATGTCAAACTAACAAGCAAGCTTGCTGCCACTTCAGCACAAACCTCCACAGAGCACAAACCATTTAAGAACTTGCTTATGAGAGTGTTTATCAAGCCTCAATGTATAAATGCCAGCAGTTAATTGACACTTTAGTCTAACATTCTTGATATCTACTGCATGAATTTTTCATGAATCTCTCTATTTTGGACTCTCCTATGTACATAAACAGGGTCAGGTTACAGCTTGACCTGACCTGCTCACAAAAAGATAAAATAAAATAATCTGTCCAAAATCAATATTTGGACATGTATTTTTAAGAAATAAAAAATCTGGCTGAAATGGATGTTCAGTACTAATTTACATCTTGAGCTTGATCAAAGTAAATAAATGAAACCTGGCTCATTCCACACTTCAGGGGAATATTGTAAGTCAGATGTGTTTGTTACTGTAAAGTGAGAACATAAAATTATTTATTTAAATTTATAAAACATACACTAACAGTCAGAAAACCTTTATAGGCCTTAACTGAAATGTAATCTAATTTTTTCAATAATTAAGAATATGAATCTTAAACTATTTTTGGAGTGTTTGTTATTGACAGAGAAAATGTCTTGGTCATAAATAGCTCAGGGCAGTCGGGACACACAGGACACAAACAATAAGTTAGCTTGCAGGAAGCTAACAGTGTCATTGATAACTGCTATTGATCTGTCCCCTCTGCCTCCTCTCCATTAGCAGAGGTTATTTTTGCACACAGCTGCGCCCCTGGAGAGGTGGGCAGGGGACCCCCTGGCAGAGTGACATATGAGGAAGATGACTTGATGGGGCAGGGTTGCCAAATAATGCCCCAGGGCAAACAGTGATACACCAAAAGACCTCTCAGTATGGCCAAATTGTATGTCTTTTGTGCTCTCTCTCGGTTTTTTATTTCTTACTACTCTATCTCATGGCACTCCCTCTCTTTGGCATCATTCCTTTTCTTTATTACTCATTTTCCATCTGTCTTTCCTCTTCATGTATGACTGTTTGTCCTTCTGTATGCCTGATCATTTCTGAGTGACATATGAGGAAGGCACAAATGAGAGGAAGTTCCCAAAGATGCCCTCAGGCTGTCACTGATCTCTTAGGCCACCCGCATATGTCCTTCTCTCTGTAGACTGTTTACTGGTGGAGCTCCACTCAGTAACGCTGGTGAACACAGACCACTGCTACTGCTGACCATTGCAAATCTTTTCTACAATGTGCTGCTCAGATGTTAGTGCAGTCCAATGCCTGCATGCGCAATATGAAAATAAGTGAGGTGTCACTTGGCAGAAATACTGGGGTATATACACCTGCAGGTGTTAAACACACCCACTCAGCTATTGTTAATAGGATAATTAAAACAATTAAACCTTCTAAAAACCAAAGCCCAAACTATGCATTATTTTTTAATTATCTTTAACAAGTCTTGAAATTGTAAGTTTACTTTAGAATGCTGCTTGTTAATGTAAAGCTCAAGAAATATAAGTTTTTTCAATAATCGCAGTCTTTACACCTAAAATTCCTGTCATTAAAAGTATCAGCAGAATGCTCCACAAACCATAAATATGAATAAGTGAAACCAACTGTACTGAAAAAAAGATGCTTTTATCCCTCTCGACATATGGATTATTAGACCTGTGCTGGTCACATCACAGCACTGGTGTGGTTTTCAGTCGTCTCCCTCTCTGTTTGTCCTCCTGTCATTTCAGCTGGCTGAAATAACTGTTCGTGAGGCTCTTATGACCTTAGTTAATTGTACAGAGACATGTATGCTTCTGTTTGTGTACTGTGTAACTCACTAGAAAAGAAGACATTAAACAATAAGACTACTAAGAAACACTAAGGCTATAATACGAAACTTAAAATCAACACAGAAGAAGATCAGTGTAGTGCAGATAGACAAGCACAGATTAGGTTTATATTCATGTCTCTCAACCCTAAAGTTTTATGAGGTTGTTAAATATGTTAAATGTAGTACACATGACACTTAGTGCCACCCTGCCTACAGTTGTATCTGCTGCATTCCTTTTAAGGCCATGCTGCTGTCATTTAGAAGTGAGGATTTTCTAACAGAAGGATTCAAGAGGATTTAGGAGGACTACAGCTTCGTAAACAAAAAAGCATAGCTGAGCAAAACTATTCAGTAAATCATCTTTATGGGAAAAAGAAGAAAGAAGTAATTGCAAAGGTTTTGAAGTGGGTAGGAAATGTTACTGTGCAAAGATGGAATACTGTGCTGTTTAGACTTTACAATTTATCATTGATCCTTCAGATGAGAAGAACAATACATTGCTGCACCAGCTCAGTATCACATTAAATGCCAGTGCAGGAAGTAGTATGTGCTTTATGTAGGGTGCTGGAAAATAAGGTTGTGGTGGCCTTTCATGAAGGAGACCAGTTTCACCCTTTCTTTAACCATTTGAAACCACCTTTCCCAAATCCTAACTAAGTTTTTTAAAGCTTCCTAACCCTAATTATACTATAACTTAATTTGCTGATGATAACTGCAATACTTGTCTAACCCTAACCATTATACTTGCCATGTATGACTATTGTTACAAGTGAAATTTTTAAAATGTTGGCACCAGACACAAAAAACATAATCAGAATCGTTGAATACTGATGTTCTTGTCTGGCCATAGGGTTGAACTGATCAGACACCAAAATAGCTAAATAAAGAAAATTTACTTCAGTCCAAGTTGATAATGGTATAAAAGAATGATATAAACAAGAAGACTGAAATGGTTGCCACAATAGCTAAAATGTAAGCAGCACTCCTTTTGATAAAGTAGAATTACCATGTCGTGGTTTTATGCTTCTGCCAACCAGCCAAACTCACTGGAATGGGACAAACGTGAGGTCACTGACCTCGACCTTTGACCACCAAAATCTAAACAGTTCATTCTTGAGTCCAAATGGATGTTTGTGCTAAATTTGAAGAAGTTCCCTCAAGGTGTCCCTCGGTTCTATACTGGAAACAAATTCCTTGTGTGTAACATACTTGGCCAGTAAAGGTGATTATGATAAGAATGTGTTTCACACATTGTTGTGAATATGTACAAATAGACAACCTGAAAACATTATGCTTTGCTGTGGCTATCGCTGGCACTCAGGCATAAAAACAGAAAAAGAGTGATATATTCAGATAAGACATGTACAGTACTGACATATTTGGAGGAGCCAAGTCCAAGTGTCAGACTGACTGACAGTAGTTTTAAGCAGAAAATCTATAATTTGTAACAGATTTTGGTTTTCAATGATGTTTGTTTTCCTCCTGGTTTCTCAGAATTCTTTGAGCTGAACTGATTTTGTGAATGTTTCCCATTATGTGCCCACAGTCCTCCCTGTTCTTGAACATCATCATGTGGAGGCAAATGGGTTTTGTGTTGCATGTGACAGTCCAGCACATTTCTTCTTCTCCCTCCCTGTTGTGTTTGTATTTTGCCAAGATTTCTTTCTCTCTCTCTCTCTCTCTCTCACCTGCTTCAGCCTTTCATCTGAAATCACCACATCTCTGAGGTAGAAAGGCCAAAGCATTGCATAATAAATGTGAACATTTTTCCAAGCACTGGTATAGCTGTGCCTATTGTGGCCTATAACAAGAGATGACAACAATGACACCTCCAACAAGCGTATTGTGTGCAGATTTCAATTCAGGAGATGTTTTCCTTTTAAATATGAGCTGTGAACATCTATTCAGCATCACATTACTGGGGCAGATCCTTGATGCTGTGCTCGTAACTCACAGCCCGTTCAAGGGTGCATGCTCCCAGGGAACAGATGTATTTGAGGACTAAAGGAGTGTCAAGGACTGACATGCAGTATACTCAGTGCTAATGTGATAGGTTCTCCATTCTTCTAGATTTAATAGGGTAATTTCTTTTATTGTTTTAAAATAAAAATTGAAAATAATTAAACACCCTAAGACCTAAGTACATGTTAAAACTAGCCTGGCTGACTAAAATAGAGCAGTTGTGATCCAGTTGTAAAATGAAAAATTATGTGCAGTCTAAAAGTCCATCTCACATTTTCTAAGGATAAATGCATTATTTCTAATTATTTACAGTGGCAAACTCAAAGTGTCTTAGTAAGTTACAGAAATGGGATCTTACAGTCCGGACTATATGTGAATGGTGCAGAGTGTTCCCTGTCGCACAGCTTCTGGCATTGTTCTAAACGTTCCATTTTTTCTTTAGCTCTATTATAAAAAAAAACAAAAAAAAACAAAAAAAAACTGTTAGATATTTTTGGACAGATGATAAACTGGTTCCCTAATTGCAGCATTTGGTATTTCAGATGAGAACAGCCACATAACTGGAGCCAAGTATACAGTTACATCCAAGTTATTTTTACTAAATTTTAAATGGAGGTTTCTCTAGCACCTCAGCCTCAGGTATGTGCTTCATAATTCCTCAGGAAATTTTAACTAGATATAACAGATTTTTGCTATTATTCAAATAAATATATAAATAAGTAAGTAACTAAGTAAGTCAAAGAACACTTTTTTTTTCTGGCTTCTGAATGTTATGCATTAGAACATTACTGTGGTGTTGACTCTCCCTCTGCAGACACTGCCAGTATTTTTCCTCCGTTATAACTGGCTGCAGGTGGGATGTAGCTTGAGCCAAATGCTAAAGCACATAAAAGTGAAATCTTTCCACGTAATGACTCATGTGTTGTCACAGACACAGGCTGGTGTCCCTAGCTAATTATGATAAATTCCTCTTCAGGCCAATTTGTTGATTCTGAACACATTAGAGCAGCTAAAGCATTACAATCACACCGTCATGGATGGCTTGATTACCAAAGCTCTGCTTGTAAATAACTGAAATAATAAACTGAAATAATTGAAATTGTTTTCTGCTTCACATCAAAACCAAGAAGTGTTATTCTGATTTCTTGGCTTCATGGGGTGGAGCTGTTTGTGTATACAGTATGTGTGTGTAGTGTGACCTGCAGATGGTACAATGCTGAAAGCCTGTTAAGATGTGTGGTTCTGATATAGCAGCTGTCTTGCCACCACTGAAATCACTGGTTTTTAGTGCATCTCTCAATGATTGAGTGGGTTGCCGTAGTGATAAGTGGGTTGCCCTGGTGATAAGCATTCTGCCGACGGACAGAAGAGGTTTGGCGGGGGGTTCAATAAGGAATCTGTCCAGTTTTATCTGCAGTAGCTGTCAACACCAGTTTCTTAACCTCTCTTTGTTTTGTTATTGCCTCTTGTCTCTTTGTCTTCTATTTGTTTTTGTCTTATTCTCTTCTCATTTTGTTTTCCTCTTATTTTTGTTGTTTACTGTATCTTCTCTTTTTTCTTTTTTTCCCACCAGTGATGTTGTTGGACAGGTGGCAAGAATCTAATTGGTCATGCTCATGTTGCCTCCTGGTCAGCACTGTATACAGACACACACACACATTTTCATTTCTCATGGGAACTTTACAATGACTTACATAAATTTCCTGGAGACCTACCCTAACCTTGACCATAAGCACTATTTGCTTAAGCCTTACTATAATGTTAACCTAAGCCAGTCCAAGTAGTCATCCTGAAATTCAGTGATTTACATATTGGCAACAAGCGTCTGCTCCCCACAAGGATGGTAAATCATTTTCAGTCTCCACAATGTGAGTAATGCCCAGCACTCACACACACAGTTGTAATTGAGGATACTCACTGAACCTAGTTCTCACCTGAAAACACTTGTGAGGACTGGCTAGAATGTCCTCCTAATGCTGAAACATCCTCACAATGATGGTTTCAAACCTTTGTCCACAAAACCATACAAAGACAGGTACCTACACACACACACACACACAGTCACCAGTATCTTTGCTTTGACAATTTTGTACTTGGACTGCTGAAGACATGCACTAGTAATCAGTGCAACCATCACTATGTTTGAACTCTGTCTCCTTGTCCGACTCTTTGATTGGGGTGAATGTGCTTAAATGAGACAGAGAGAGAGAGAGAGGTGGAGATTCTTTATTCTCACTCTGCTATTGTGAGTTTGTGTTTTCCTGTCGAGGCTGTTGCATGGCTTGTGTTTCAAATGAAAAGGCAAGAGTTGGCTATGAATCCTAAGCTTGTTTCCCCCTCTCCTCTCTCCATCTGTATACCTTCATCCCTCCATTCTCTTCATTCTCCTTTCCTCCTCCCCACTCCCTGGATATGTAGAGGTTCCCATGGCAACACTGAGCCCACCCAAAGTAACAGCAATGGAGGGGGACAACCTGGCACTGTCCTGTACAACCTTTGGCGTGCCCTCACCTGACCTGATATGGAAAATGTTCTTGGTCACCAGCTATGAGGTTAGTTCTCATTTTCTCACTCTCTCTCTCTCACACACACACACACACAAACTCACATAGTATTTGGATTAACTGTCATGTAACATTACTTTCAGAGCTGAAATGATCAATAAAGTGATTAGTTGATCACCAGAACAATAATGATCATCTATTTTAATAACAGATTATTGGTTTGAATCATTTTTAAGCAAAAATGCCATTTACATGATGGTAATTCTCTTCTCAGACACAGTCATTTACCAGTTTATTAGGTGCACCTAGCTAAATCTAATGCAGCCCATTGCGTCAAATCCTACAATAAAGCAGTTAAAACTTTATAACAGTTATAAAGGCTATAATTAGCAGTTTTTGTTGAAACTGTTTTAAAGAGGTAGTGATTCAAATTTAGGGGCATATTTGAAGCTGTTTTATTTTATTGTGTTACACTTACTCACTTTCTACTCTTTGCTCTACCCACATTGATATATACAAGTTTATGTGTTTCAACAAAAATGAAATATTACCTTCTCTCTCCTCAATCCCTCGCTGAGCTCCATCTCCCATCCCTAATCCAGGTTGCCTCTCTGTCTATGGAACTGAACAAACACTTCATTATATAGATTAATATAGACTAATTATTTTACAGTGATAGTTGTAATCTAAGTTTTTTTCAGCGGCTGCTACAACAGTTCATCAGTCTCAGCTGCGTCACTCGACAATGTAACTACAGTCTGACTGAAAGCAACTGAAGCGAGACATGTTCAGCATGCTTCAATTAATGCACCAGAGAAAATTGACCTAAAGCATAAAACAGCGTGGGGGTCCAGGGATGATGCACGGCTTGCCCACGTGTGTCAGAGACACATTTGTTAGAATGGAGCTCTATCTGTTGTGTGAAAAATGCATATAAAAATGCACAACTGGCCTGCACTGGACTTGTGTGTGTGACTTGCCATGTTGTTTTATGGGCTTCCCAGATGAGTCACTGAGGTGCTTGATTAAATAATTGGTTGCATTGATTTTTTGCCACAGAGGCAAAGATTTTGGCATGGTGTGGCGCCATGGGGAAATGTTACCATCAGAAACACTGTCTTCCCTTTGTGGGGAATGCTTCAAACCACTTTGAGAACATAACTACAATCCATGAAGGGAATTTATACCTCATACATGGAGGCATATGTACAAAGTCTATTTACAAATTCATGTTTTACTACTTCCTTGCCCTTGGTGTTCTGTAAGCACAGAGCCACTACTTACTAATGACAGAGTCACAGCAGTCTGGGTTTAGATCATATGATTCATTCCCCCTTTTCCTACATGTGTGGATCCCTGTGCAACTTGAGTCAACACATGAGGTTGGCATCTAGGAGAAACTAACCCACTATCAGGGTGGAGCCACAAGCCAGACTCCAGCTGAGTCCAGCCTTTATTTTTCATAGTTCTTTCTCAAAACTATCACACAGAATTGAGCACCATCAATATTATCAACTGAGACAACTGCAAAAAGAACACAAGGTTGCAAAGATGCTTACCACAGAGGATGGGGTAAGCATGGCGTGTTTATTCAGTCATGTCTGCTAACATGTTACCTTAGGAAACAAAATCAGTACCACTTCTTTAAGCAGCACTGTATGTAGCCAGAATGGCTTTCAACAGATTAGATATAAGATGTGAAGGTTTAATTAGTTTGCACCACTGTCAATGGTTGTATCTCATATCAGTATAAATGGTGGCAGACAGGCCTTCAGTCACATATGAAGGCATAGAGCTCAGCTTGTTGAGCAGGTGTTCTAGTAGCAAGTTGCAGCAAAGAACCTGGATTTTCATTCAGGCATAAGTCATAAAAATGAATTAAACAATGTTTCAGTAATTAGCTCACTGTCTAAATAGGTTTTTCTATTACAGGAACATACTGAAACATGTTGCACTGAGTAACACTCATCACGGGTTCTGCGTTGGTTTCCACTAGGGTGCGCCTGCTTTGGAGGTGCATTCTGGGAGCACAATTTCAGCACCCCAGGAGGTAGTGCTAAAATCAAGTACCAGGGAGGAGGGTGTGTGTGTGTGCAGAGCAGTTCCCAGTGATTGGTTAAATGTCCACATCTTCACACCTCAAACATTAGCATTACAAATACCTTGTGTAAATACACAGCTGACTGCGTGTGTGAGAAGGGAGCGTCCCCTCCCTCCTCTAAACAGAGACCGATACAGAGAAAATACAGTGGAAAACGAAGCAGGATGACTGTGTCAACCCCAGAGGCTATGGATAATTACCTTTATTGGCCAAGTATGTTACAGACACAAGGAATTTCTTGGGGGAATGGGGGGGTTCAGTGTCTTGCCCAAGGACACTTTGACATGTGGACTGCAGGCACCCAGATTTGAACCTTCAACCTTCCAGTTGGGAGATGACTGCTCTACCCACCGCACTATCACCTCCCCCTTGGTGCTTTGCTTGGTGATGGTTATGAGATGTATTGGGTTTACCACTCTTTAGGTTCTGATAGTGAAAAGCAGCATAAGTTAACCACTGGGAGCAATTTTTCTGGACTTAAAGGCACAGTCCTATGAACAATATGATCAATGATCAATATTAGGTAAAGAATGGACATTTCGCAGCCTGATCCACGAGCAGCTGTCACATGCAGGGTGGTACTGTACAAGTGTTTAGAATACACTAAATATCTTACATAGCTATTCATGTGTATCATTTTGTGCAGTCCCCTCTCACAACAAATCACTTTCAAAAATGTTAACTTGACACATACCCTAATCACAATCCTACAAATGGCCAAAGATAATATCCTCTGTCAATACCTCAGCTAGACAGAGAACCATAAAAACTGCACACCAAATTGTCACACTAAATTGAAATGCAGAGCACATGAATCCATGTGTTTATTACAACCAGCAGACACAATAAATATCAGTTCTGGTGGTTATTAAGGCTATAGGTTTTCATTATGGATTAGAAAAGGGAAGTGATAAAACAAAAAGAACAAAGAAAAAGACAAAGTATGGAAAGTCCGCCCACACAAGACACATTCCCAGGTCATTTGTCTCCTGGCCATGCAATGACAGGTGGACTAACAAAACAAAATTACAAACAAAACTGAATGGGGATACAGTCATACAGCTACCCCAGCAATCACTGCACAACACAACCATCAGTCATTACTGACAGATTAAATATTTTCAACACATTAAAAGTTAAAACAACAATTTTAATACTATTACATGAAACCACAATAAGCAAAGACAATAACATTAACTCTGTGTACCTGTTATGTCGGCCCTCCACACTCACAGTAGGTTTACATCTCTGAGCACCTTATAAAATGTGCTGCCACACTGTAGCACCCAGAGACATCAGTGGTTTCAAAAGGAACTCCTACATTAAATTCTAAAAAAACATACAACTCCTAAGATCTCAAACATTAAATCTATTACCCCGAATCAAATTTTCACTCACACTGCAGTGAGACCAACATCCTCTGTGGCTGCCCACAGGCAGAACTGGCACCACCCACCAGACCTCACCCTTTCCATCCACTCCTCTCCCAATCAGTGTGCAGAAGCAGCACATCACCAGGTGCCACTCGATCATGTGGAGCCCATCACAATGGAGGCTGACTTTTCTGTTAAGATAGCTGTGGCAGCAACAGCTCACAAACAAGCCAGCATTCCCAGCACTACAGGAGGCAGCTCAGAAGAATACAAAGCCACAAGGCGGTAATCAAAGCCATGTTTCTGCACCGAAATGCCTGAGGTGCTGCCATTCTCCGCATGCACATACAAATGAAAAGGCAATTTATCGTCTGGCAAGCCAAGGCTGGTGCAGATATAAGAGCAGCTTTCAAGGACCTAAATGCAGCTGCCGTATGTTCAGACTATTGAACAGGGTCAGGTGCAGAGTTCAGTGTGACAACACAAAGGGCAGGGCCACCTGCTGTTTAGTTGTCAATCCAATGTCAACAAGAATTGGTCATGCCTAAGAATGAGCGCATTTCTGCCTTTGTGTGTGGAGGAGGCTCTGTGGACAGCAGGTTTACACTGTCTGGCACCCTAGAACCCTAGAATGACAGAATTGCAGCTTGACAAGCAATGTTTAATGCACTTATATAGCCAAATGTTTCAGGAGGAGAATGGGGTTAGTTTTGCAGGCTTCCTAATAAGAAGAAGCCACAACAAGATTATTGGCATATTGAAGCAACGAACTTCCACCAGGGATCATAAGGTCATCAACATCTCTCCTTATCATCACGACATACTGTATATCACAATCAGTTTGCAGAAACTCTGAACAGTTCTCTGCCATAAACGCTGCTGACCACTAAAGGTGGAAACACAAAGGTGTTGGCTGTCATGCAGTTAAACAAGAACAAAGGCAGAACACAAGTCCACACCCCTGTAGAAAATGTAGAATTGGGTGATGAGGAGGTTGAAATGGAATTTGACTATAATAGCTTTAATTTGAAGATCTTGCACAAAGCCTCGTTCTCCAGGTTTATGGGTCAGTAAAATAACTTTTTTCTGTGTCCTAATGAGTAAAACCATGGACTATTTAGTCATATCTGACCTGCACTGTTTTTTATTATTTTTCTCTCCTGTTTAATCAGTTTTATTTTACCTTATTTTTTCTTATGTTTTATTTAATTTTGTTTCTTTTCTTAATGCATTTTGTGCTTTATTTAAAGCACTTTGAATTGCATTGTTGTTAAAAAGTGTTACGTTGCTTCCTGTAATAAATGCTGTTGTTTTATTTCTGGCAACACTACATTTGGTCTTAAAGTTATGCTGTGAGAAGGGGCTAAAGTTACCAGATGCTCTCACACTGGATTCTCTGCTAATAGGGGGCTAGATACTATGGTTTTGACACAGGTACCCATTGTTAAAGTAGTTCAAGTAGACCAAGCAATCACACACTGCTAGATAACAGTGTAAACAACTTAGATGAGTAGTTAGGCTGTGTGGGTGTGTGTTTTGTATCTGAAATGACAAATGATCATATTGAATTGGCCACTGATATACGGTAGATTGTTTGCACAACCAAGTGATTTAAAACAAAGGGTATCTTTGGCCATAAGGTACTTTTACTTGTAATGGGATTATTGCTAGTGTGATAGTATTTGTTACTTAATTAAATTATCTGAATACTTCCTTATCTAATTTTGTGCCAGTTTTTCTTCTATTTTACTCAAAGCATATTGTACTGCATTGGGTATAGCATGTTTTGGTTCACAGAGAGCTGCCACAAATGGCCCTTGTTTATCAGAACAATTTGCAGGTTGTTTTGATACCAGCTGAGGAATTTGGATTTTGTCAGTCTGATAAAACTTGCCATTTTATTCCTTCACAAATAAACAGTTGTACTAATCTTTCTATGATTGAGAGCGGTTAGGAATCAGTAACAAACAGGCTTGTTTTTCAATTTGTTATCTAGTTTGTTGTTATCAGCTATGTTTTTGGAACAGAGCAGCTGCAAGTAAAGGGAGAATGCCAGCACTGCTATTTTATTTTATTTTATTTTTTACTCAGTTCTTTCACCTGTAGTCACTCATGGGGGGAGTTGGGGCTGAATAAGCAATGTTTTTGTTGAGAAAATAACTGACTCTTCAGGCTGACATCTGGGTGTGTTTACTCACTCAGATCGTGACATCAGGCCAGGTTTCAGTTCTGCGACTGTCCAACCTGTCGTCACTGGACCACAACAGCAAGATCAGCTGCATCGCTGAGAACATTGTGGGAGAGAAGGAATCCTCTCTGCTGCTGGATATACACTGTAGGTTTACCCCCCTGGCAAACAGCCAGACATGTGTTAAAGCAAAGTAGTATAGTCTTTGTTCCTGTTCCTCTCATCTATCTTGCTTCATGTTTTTTCTATTTGTGTCTTGAACTCTTTATTCTCTCCGCTGCCCTCAGTCCCTCCCAAAATCATTAAACTGAGTGATGCAATCCCAGACCATCACTGGTGTATCCCCTTCAGCGTGTCAGGTAACAGAGACATCCACATTCTCTGCTGTTAATTTTCTATGATTTAGCAAGGTCTAAAGCTTGAATAGTGTTACACAGATTATTAGCAGCAATGTCTACATAAACAAAGAATATAGACCAATGTTTAAAGAATGTGCAGCTAATGAAAATCACTGAGCATTTTGTATTGTCTTCATAAACTTTCCAGGAAACCCAGAGCCAAATTTACAGTGGTATCTGAATGATAAGCCAGTGATGGAGGGGGTCTACATCTCGACCATGATCCATGACATCACAGAGAGAGAGTACCATGGCTGCCTGCAGCTCGACAGCCCCACGCATATCAACAACGGGCGGTACAAGCTGGTGGCTACAAACAAGTACGGGTCTGACCAAAAAGAGGTGGAGGCTCACTTCATGCAAAGGCCCTTAGATGGTGAGGAGTAATACTGCACAAGTTTTATATTCCATTAATCATTCAAGCAAAAATCCCTCATTTCAGTTTATCAACTACGGTGAGTCACTGCTGTTTTTTGTTTGTGATATTATTTGATCTTATATTGTTGATTGAACAATACATGCAATTAGAAAATGTCAGTTTGGACTTTAAGAAATTATGTTATGACAGCATGGCCTGACACGCCCCTCTTTGGGGCCAAATAATGGGTAAACATCATTTTACTCCAATACTGAGCCTCCATATGAATGCTCTCCCATTCTTTGACACCTTTAGTTGTGTAATTTTGACTGACAATATGCAGATACTGTACATGAACAGTTTGGTTAAATGGAACATTTGATCATATTTAATCTTTCTGATGTTGTCTTAATGTACAGAAACTGAGAAGGAGCCTTCCTATTATGGTGAGTGAAATAGATATTCATAACTACAAATGTTTCTTCAATTTAAATTCACTGTGTATTCACAGTTCCAGTGTTTTCACATCAATTTTATATTAATCATCTCATAATTTTTCATATTCATCAATTAACACTAATTACATTTTAGGTATATTTTCCTTTTCTTTCTCATGTTGCTGAGTTTGTGTATCTACATGTCTTGGGACTGTCTTTTCACACTTTGTAGTGGTGGAAGAAATACACAAATCTTACTCTGTTACAAGCAAAGGTCCTGCATATCAAATGTTACTTAAGGAAAAGCATTATTATCCTCTGATGATATGCTGAAAGTACCAGAAGTAAAAGTACTAGAACAGAATGGAATATTTCACCTTAAAGTATATCATATTATTGGATTATAATTATTGATGCATTATTGTGTTTATCACTTTAATGTTGCAGGTGGTAAAGGTGGAGCTAATGTTAACTTGAAGTGTACTACAGGGTAGCTTGTGAATATTCCACTGGGGATCAATAAAGTCTTGTGATTATACTGTATTTTGTTTTATTATTCTGATTCTGAAAAGTAACAATAGTTATCAAATACATGCAGTCCAGTAAAAAGTACAATATATACCCCTGAAATGTAGTGAAGTATAAAGTAGCCAAAAATGAAAGTAGTCAAAAAGTACAAATATCTTAAAATTATACTTAAGTGTAGTACGTGAGTATGTTTGTTTTGCCTGCCCTGTTTATGTAATTAATATCAGTGTTTTTGAACTAAGCTGAGAGAACAGGCATGAAGTGCATGGCATTGAACTTATAATTTAAAGTATGTTAAAATGTTTGGAACCTAACTTGTATTTGTTGTCTTCTTCTCCAATGCTTCCTCACTCCTACAGACCTACCCACAGGTACTGCCACATCTTTTATTTACTTACTCCCAATCACAAACATCAGTTATATTAATCGACTAAGCACTAAGTCATTTTTGGAAGAAAAAAAGTTTTTTTTGCAGGCAGACAGAGGTCAACAAAAACAGACTTACTTTAACTCCATGAGTTGGTTGGAAATGCTGTTTCTGGCTGACGTGTTTCCAGGTGATTCATTTTAAAATGAGAACCTTAAAGGTCTGAAATTATACATGAGTGATACATGCTTAAAGGTAAATGACTTTAGCAAAAAGTCAGTACTCTCACTGCCTAATACTCCACGTAGAAGACCTCAGGATAAAGAAACAGCACATTCTTGTATTGTAGTGTGGAGCTAGTTAGTCCAAATATAGTATATCGATAATCTTGTTAACTGCTTATATACTGTACTTGAAAAAGCAAGATGATTAGATTTATGTTTAACTGCTTGTATTTTAAACAGGGGGTTTCATTATAAACATTACAAGTGAAACACCTTTGAAAATAAAGGCCAACTGATGTGTATGGAGAACATAAACTCTCATTTGGCTGGAGTTTACACAGAGCCACATTAACATTAGCTTAAACTCTGAGAGCATAGGACTGATGTTGTGATGTGGTCTGTTTCCCCTTTCATTAACGTGGCCCTTACCTTACCCTAACCCCAACTAGCTATCAGTGCTACTTCTAACATAACCCCTAAGCCTTTCTTATTTGGGCCCCTCAGCTGTGGGACGACCTGCTAGATGAGATCAGGGAAGGAAACTCAGAGGGATATTTATTAAAGTTTTGCAGCTCATTTTATGGCGCTAAACAGTGAAATTGCATGTGTTCATATTTACTAAGGTGTCGGTTTTGCGTCTGAATAACAGAAGGAAAGCAGCCCTGCAGGAATTTGCATGTTTGGTCTCATGCAATATGTACTGTATTTTAAGGTGTTCCCATTCAGGAACGCAAAACTCAGGGAAGAGAGAATGCAAATTTATACAAATAGCCTCAGCACCTGATTTAGCAAAGGGAACTGAGCCATGCTTCAGTTACTGAATGAAATCAAAGGTTATTTAACTGGCAGAAGACTGCAGCTTCAAGATACAGTATGTTTGTTAATTTCTTCAGCCATATTAAATTTCAGTCGCAGTAAACACTGTTTCTACTGGCCTCTTGGCCTATCTTTGCGCAGTACAAGTATGTCCTTGCCAGCTGCGTTCAAACTAACACAGCTGCAGCTGCGTTTGTTTACATCATCAGTGTTGGTAAATATGCTGCTAAATTGAAATTTTATAATATTATATTATTTTCCATGCCTGACAGTACTTTGTGACAGTTTTAATGAATATCACCCTCAGTATCTTCTTTTAAATCACTTTAAAAAGCTCACTATTTTACAGTTGATTGTCATTTACTTTATTATTTATTTTTACTCTCTGCTTGTTATCATCTCAGTTTAATAATTTACTATTAATTAAGTCATTTTATTTTATTTTTTGTGTAAAGCACTTTTAAAGCAACTTGCTTTGAAAAGGGCAAAATAAATCTAAGATATTATTATTATTCATAATAATAAAAATAAGGCATAACTCTAACCACAGATGTGGGTGTTAGAGAATACACTATTTTTATGAGAGGGTAATACTATCTGAAGGGGGAACAGACTCCAACACACAGTGGGGCTCTACACTAGCCTCTGTAATGAAATGTTGTATGAAATGCCACTGGGCTTGGAAATTATGTTGGGTTATATTACCACTGTTAGCGTACAACATTTGTTAGCACACATATATATTCTGTTTAATTCATTCATTAAACTTGTGTTTTCATTTTGGAGAGGGCCAACAATGAAACTACTATCCAAACTCTTTAGGTGTCCAGTATTACTAACCACCTTGGTCTAAATTCACCTACTGAGCAAGCTGTTCAGTGTTAACACTGTTAACCAATAAGTATACTGTACTCTATTGAAAGTGTATGTTAGTATTACATAGCCCTTCACCCAGTTACAAGTCACTTCTTGAGCAGCTCTTCCTCTCTGTTCATTGCTCTCTCTGTCTTTCTGTCTCCTGCATCAACAGAGGGTCCCCCTGCAGACCCACCTGAGGACAGAGTTGCTGTAAGTCACGTCTCACTGTTTTCTTCCTGCTCTATTTCTTTATTGATTGTCTCTGTCAGTTGCCGGCTGATTGTGCCTGTTTTCCTTTCCTTTCCTTTAATTTATTTGTATTAGTTGTTCAGAACCACCTGAGCTGGATCTACAGTATCTTTAATGTTAGAAGTAACTGAACGAACCCAATACAATGCAACCATGCAACAGTACTTAGAGAAAATCAGCCTTTCTTGAACAGTGACACCCTCTGTACCTCTTGTTTTGGTGTGTATGACATTTTTAATCTGGCTATCTGTGTGTTTACTTGGTTTATAACTCTGCTTTGTTAATTTGCAGGTGTATGTGGTGGTGGGAATTGCTGCTGTAGCCTTCACTGGTTTCCTTCTAATGTTGGTTATTCTCAAGTTTGGTGGAAACTCCAAGTTTGGCATCAAAGGTAAGACTCTCATCTTTTATATCCAGTGGTGGCATCCACCCCACAGGGTGGATGGATAGTTCAGCATAATTTAACACATGATGATAATTGCTGGATGTTGATGTCTAGAGCCAGAAATTTGGACAATTTAAGTACAACATGGATGGCTTCATGGTTACATTAAAAACATAATCAAACAATTTGCCCCAAACACCAAAATTAGAAACTATTTGTAATACTATACTAACTAATATGCAAAACATCACATATTCATGAAACCATCCTGTTGATGTGGAAACAGTTTCATTGGTTCTCTGTACTGCTGGTGAATAACATGCATGTTGACTTAACTGAGGTCTCGTAGTTTTTCTGTGCTGGTGTAAAACTACTGTGGTAGTCATAGTCTCCCTTCACACCTTCACACACACATTTTTAGAACAATGTGTGACTTCTGCAATGGCTATATGTGTAATTAATCTATTCTCTATTGTAATATTAATCTTACTGACTTGCTAGAACGGATGTGCCTCTGTTTTGCTCATTTTGACACTTGGCTGATATTTTCTCATTTTATGTTAACTAACAAAAACTACTGAACAACCCTTTACCAGTTCTATCATTACTGCATACATAATAAATGCTCTTATATCTTGTTTTTTTTGAAAAACAGATTCAAGCAAAGTAGATTTAGTTGTGTGAAAATACCAAAATACAGCACATACTCTAAGCTGGGTATAAGAAGGGGTTTCTTTGTCAGTTGTCTTTAGTTTTGTTCAATTACTGTCTGTCTTCTGAGAAAGTAATTTGGTGCTTTTAAAAGAAAGGTTTTTTGGCAATTCATTAGCATTTGATGTAGCAAGGGCCCACATTTGACATTGAAATTACCAAACAAAAATTTCAATGCAAATGAAGAGACAGACTTAATAAATGTGTTTCCTAGTGCGTGTGCATTTATGTACATAACTCTCGGTTGCCCTGTTGAAGTGTAGTATTTTGGCAGTGATTGATTTTTTTGCCCCCCAGAGAGGAGGAGTAGATGACAGATGGAGCAGCTAATATATACTGTACACTGTGTGCCTGTGTGTGCATGTGTGTGTCTTTGAATTTATGCTCTTGTGTGTGGCTTCTTCTTTCTCCAGGAGAGGTGAATGAGGTTGCTCTGAAAGAAATGATCTGTCAAATTCTTCTTAGCATCCCCTATATACAGCATCTGTATTTTTGTTTTCTTGTACTGTACTGTACTGTACTGTACTGTACTGTACTGTGCTGTACTGTACGTCTAAGCATTTTTGCATGTGTACTGTATGTACTTTCTCATGTGTAGGAAGTTAGATCACATTACAGTTTTGTCCTTCTGGTTGCTCCCCTTGAGTGTTCATCCTTCTCTCTTTCCTATCAACTCCCTTGCCCCATGTAGTTCTGTCTTTATACTCCACATACATCCAGATAAATATAGGCGCCTTGCAGTATATTGACACTGGGGAAAGTGTGTGGAGAGAGACTGAGACTTAGTGGTGACAGTATAAACAGCAGAGTCAGAGTTGGAAAGCTGTGAGTGATCCTGAGCAGCAATTGTACCCAAATAACTGTTGTTTATTTGAGACATTTGCATTTGTCTTACGTTGGACCAATGACCAAAGTTCATCGCAACCTCAGAAACATGGCCACAGATGGCGGCACACTACCAGCGCTAATCTAAAACAGACAGCACTTTGTCATGGCAACATTTTTTTTTTTTAAATCACAGACACGTGCATCCAGACACACACCCCCACATGAACACAGTCAGCGCTGATGATAATGATGAACTTGTGATCAGAAAGTGTGAAAAACACATGTCCCATATTGAACAGGTACACACGAGAAACGCTCACCGACCCCGGATGAGTCGCTGTTTATCTCTTTCTGAGAGCCGAGTAAAAAGCTGTAGCTGGTTTACATTATTTATACTGACTGCATTAATCAGCTCCTCTCTCATCAATAACACATTGGCAACATTTGGTACAGGTTACCTCTCCATCTCCTCGCTACTTCTTGACACACACACACAGGATGGCTATTTTATATACTATACATATTTGTGTGCGTTTTTGTATCAGCAGAAGGGACTAAGTAAATAGGATAAAATGTAAGATTAACATTGTGGATAATGCAGATATAGATGTAGCATTGCTGAAATTGGCTGTCCTGTTCGCCTTTGCTCCTGATAGGTTAAACCTGTATTATGTGTTTTTAATTCACTTGAGGGCAGTGCAACAAGCTTTAAGCACAACACTGACAAGTTTGATTTGATTTGATTTATTCTTTCAAGCATGTAAAGACAGTTGATATGTCAACACACATAATTTTACACATATCCAACAAATGCTAATCCAATATCAATTTGCTTATACCTAATACATGCTTGAATGGAGTAGGAAGAAATCAGACTTATCCAGTCCTACCCCATGACATCATCTTACATCATTGGTTTGCAAGCAGTATCTCTACATAAATAATTCTCTTCTACACCACACAAGTAATATACTAAAGAATTATAA